TTGCAAATACAGGTAAAAAATGCATTTTCTGCATCGGAAGCACAGTGGGAAAATTATGTTTTTGCATAAGAACCACAGCCAAATTGAATTTTTTGCATCGAAAACACAGTGGAAAAAAATGTTTGCATCAAAAATGCAAGTGAATTTTTATCATTATTTTTTGCATGGAAAGCGCAAGAAAAAATATTTTTTTCGCTTCAAAAATGCAAGCAAAAAATGATTTTTTGCATCACAAATACAGGTAAAAAAATGAATTTTCTGCATCAAAGGCACAGTGGAAAATTATATTTTTGCATAAGAAGCACAACCAAATTGAATTTTTTGCATCAAAAACACAGTGGGGGAAAAATTGCATCAAAAATGCAATTGATTTTTTTTTTTGCATGGAAAACGTAGGAAAAAAAATTTCACTATGAAACTGCAAGCAAAAATGAATTTTTTTGCATCACAAATACATGTAAAAGATTCTGCATCGAAAGCACAGTGGAAAAATTATGTTTTTGCATCAGAAATACAGCCAAATTGCATTTTTTGCATCAAAAACACAGTGGGGGAAAATTGCATTGCATTGAAAACACAGTGGAAAAAATGTTTGCATCAAAAATGCAAGTGAATTTTTATTTTTTATTTTTTTTGCATGGAAAGCGCAAGGAAATTTTTTTTCCGCTTCGAAAATGCAAGCAAAAATGAATTTTTTGCATCAAAACGCACAGGCAAAAATGAACGTTTTGCATGGAAAATGCAAGCAAAATTGCAGGTGAAGTGAAATTTTTCGACATTTGAAAATTCGGGCACAAATTATTATTTTGCATTAAATATGTATGTATGTGTGTGTGTGTGTATGTGTGAGTGTGTGTGTGTGTGTGTGTGTGTGTGTATAGAATTCCTGCATCGAAAGGACAGGCAAAAATATAATTTTTCATATTGTATACGCAACTGAAAATGAAAAAAAATTGCATTGAAAATAGGGTTTTGCAGAATCGGAAATGCATCTGACATTGCAATTTTTTTGCGCCAAACGTGCAGCCGAAAAGGATTGAAAATGCAGCCGAAAACATTCTGAGTCCCATCATAGAAAATTCCGCATTTTACGAAAGCCTACAAAAGTCAGAAATGCATGACAGCAAAGACAACCTTCAAGCGTCGCTCTCCAACACAAGCAGTGTATCGTCTACATACACGTTGACAGTGGCCCCAAACAGGGCAAGGTCTGGGGACGATGGGACTTCCTGGTGCGACCGGATCGTCCGGGTTTGTGCACGGGATCCGGTTCCCTATCGGGACGGCTGCATCGGAACCGCCTCCGCTCCTCCTGCTTTGCAACAGGGAGCATCCCGGGACACAGAGGAGGAGACATTCCTGCCCAGGGTTGGGTTCAAGGACTACACATCCCAGCATTCCCCCTACTTTAACTCAAATTCAGTGCTGTTTGATCCTGGGAGACTTTGGGTGAGAAGGTGAAAGACCTTGGGGAACTACAACTCCCGGGACACGTTGAGCCATGGTGGTTACAGTGGTGCCAAACTGCATTCATTCAATGGTATATAGACGCACCCAGAGGAGACTCAAGACCTCAGAAAACTACAAGTCCCAGGATCCCAAAGCACTCAGTTAAAGACCTTTGTGAACTACAACTCCTATAGCATTGAGCCATGGTGGTTACAGTGGTGCCAATCTGCTTTCATTCAATGGTATTTAGACATACCCAAAGGAGACTCAAGACCTCAGGAAACTACAACTCCCAGGACCTTGGGAACTATAACTCCCAGGATCCCAAAGCACTCAGTTAAAGACCTTGGGGAACTACAACTCCTATAGCATTGAGCTATGGTGGTTGCAGAGGTGCCAAACTGCATTCATTGAATGGTATATAGACGCACCCAGAGGAGACTCAAGACCTTGGGAAACTACAACTCCCAGAATCCCAAATTACTCAGTTAAAGGCCTTGGGGAACTACAACTCCCGGGGTGCCTATAGCATTGAACAATGGTGGTTTCAGTTGCGCTGAATTGCATTCATCCAATGGTATATAGATCCACTCAGAGGAGGCTCAAGACCTTGGGAAACTATAACTCCCAGCGTGCCTATACCATTCAGCCATGGTGTTTACAGCGGTGCTGAACTTCATTGATTCCATTGTGTGGGGAATGAAAGGCCCAAGGCACCAAAGAACCAAAACATTGGGAAACTACAACTCCCAGGATGCCTATAGTATTGAGCCCTGCTTGTTACAGTGGTGCCGAACTGTTTTCATTCAATGTTATATAGACGTGCCCAGAGGAGGCTCAAGACCTTGGGAAACTACAATTCCCAAGATCCCAAAGTACTCAGTTAAAGTCCTTGGGGAACTACAACTCTCAGGATTCCAGAATGGTGTCAAGCTGCATTCATTCAATGGTATATAGATGCACCCAGAAGAGGTTGAAGGCCTTAGGAAACTACAATTCCCAAGATCCCAAAGCACTCAGTTAAAATCCTTGGGGAACTAGAACTCTCAGGATTTCAGAATGGTGTCAAACTGCATTCATTCAATGGTATATAGAAATTTCAAGGCCTTAGGAAACTACAACTCCCAGGATCCCTACAGCATTGAGCCACGGTGGTCACAGTGGTGCCGAACTGGATTCCTATGATAATATATAGATACGCCCAGAGGAAGATCAAGACCTTGGGAAACTACAACTCTCAAGTTCCCAAAGTATTCAGTTAAAGGCCTTGGAGAACTACAACTCTCAGGATTCCAGGGTGGTTAAAACAGTGTCAAACCGCATCCATTCAATGGTATATAGATGCAACCAGAAGAGGATCAAGACGTTGGGAAACTACAACTCCCAAGGTGGTTCCAGTGGTGCTGATCTGCATTAATTCCACAGTATTGAACCCCCATCTCCCAGATCGATTGGGTGACCGCTTTTGAGTTCGGACTGCATCCCGTAACGGAGTCACAGCTAGCCAAAGGCAGGAGACAGGCCCAATTCGAGGCGTCATTGTGGTTTCCTAACTAGGAAATCCTCTCCGGTTTTGTGTGCGAACTTTAACAGACGTGCTGGTTCTCCAAAGAGACTTGGAAAGTTCAGACGAGAGTCCGTAATGGACTCATATCCATGGCAGCCCGCCCCAATCTCAGTATCGTGGTTTCCAAATCAGTAAATCTACTCCAAATTTGTATCTGTACTCTATAGGAGGTATCCATTGGGGTCTTTAATGTTTGGAGCAGAGTCCGTAACGGACTCATACCCATAGCAGCAATACTATGGCTTCCATAGAAGTAAATCTGCACCAATTGTGTCTGTACTTTGTAGCAGCTATTCATTGGGCCTTTTCAAGTTCGGAGCAGAGTCCATAACGGACTTATATCCATGGAAGCCAGGCCCAATCGGAGTACTGTGGGTTGCAAATCAGTAAACTTTGTATGCGTAATCTATAAGAGAAATCCGCCGGGCCCTTTAACGTTGGGAGCGGAGTCCGTAACGGACTCATACCTATGGAAGCCGGGCCCAATCAATCGGAGTATTGGGGCTTCCAAAGCAGGAAATCTGCACCAATTTTGTATCCGCACTTTATAGGAGCTATCCATTGCGGAACTTTACAGTTTGGAGCTGAGTCCGTAACGGACTAAACTCTAGGGAACCAATCAGATTATTGTGGCATCCAAATCAGTAAACTTCGTAATCTATAGGAGTGGCCCATTGGGCCCTTTAAAATTCAGAGCAGTAAACTTTGTATGTTTAATCTATAGGAGAGATCCATTGGGGAACTTCACAGTTTGGAGCAGAGTCCGTAATGGACTCATCTGTATGGAAGCCAGGCCCAATCAGTCAGAGTATTGTGGCTTCCAGATCAGGAAATTTGCTCCAATTTTGTATCCGTACTTTATAGGAGCTATCCATTGGGGAAGTTTACAGTTCGGAGCAGGGTCCGTAACGGACTCATATCAAGGAGCGATCCATTGGGCCCTTTAAAGTTCAGAGCAGAATCCGTAACGGACTCGTAAAGTCCGTATGAACTCATATCTAGGAGCGATCCACTGGGCCCTTTAAAGTTCGGAGGAGAGTCCGTAAAGGACTCGTAAATTTCAGAGCAGAGTCCATAACGAACTCATATCTAGGAGCGATCCACTGGGCCCTTTAAAGTTCAGAGCAGAGTCCGTAACGGACTCGTAAAGTCCGTACGAACTCATATCTAGGAGCGAGCCACTGGACCCTTTAAAGTTCGGAGCAGAGTCTGTAATGAACTCATATCTAGGAGTGATCCACTGGGCCCTTTAAAGTTCGGAACAGAGTCCGTAACGAACTCATATCTAGGAGCGATCCACTGGGCCCTTTAAAGTTCATCTGTATGGAAGCCAGACCCAATCAGTCAGAGTATTGTGGCTTCCAAATCAGGAAATTTGCTCCAATTTTGTATCCAATTTTGTATTTTTATAAGAGCTATCCATTGGGGAAACTTACAGTTCGGAGCAGAGTCCGTAACGGACTCATCTCTAAGGAACCAGATCCAATCAGAGTATTGTGGCTTCCAAATCAGGAAATCTGCTCTAACTTTGTATTCTATAGCTATCAATTGGGCTCTTTAAAGTTCGGAGCAGAGTCCGTAATGAACTCATGTCTAGGAGCGATCCACTGGGCCCTTTAAAGTTCAGAGCAGAGTCCGTAACGAACTCATCTCTATGGAAGCCAGGCCCAATCAGTCAGACTATTGTGGCTTCCAGATCAGCAAATCTGCTCCTATTTTGTATCCGCACTTTATAGGAGCTATCCATTGGGGAAGTATAAAGTTCGGACTAGAGTCTGTAAGGGTCTCAAACCCAGAGAACTGGGGGGAAAGTAAAAGAAGGTGCAAATCCCATGTATGTTGTGGGGCCTTGTGTTGCAAAACACTTTTCGATGTGCAGCTGGACATAATGCGTCTACACGCGGATCAACCCCGAGACAAAGGGCCGTGTAATTTCTGGGCAGAGGGCCACTTCCTTTGTGGCGTGGCCAATTGTGGGCACTGTGGCCTCATTGTCCGTCGTGACAGGTCCGGCCGAGAGAAACCAGAGCGATCCAGGGCGGGATCGGGAAGCAGGCAGAGGACGCTCCCGGATTGTGGTTGTGCAAGATCCAGAATTGGAAACGCAGCCCAACGAGAAGTCCGACCACCTCCCGACTCCGTCGTTGTTGTTGTTGCGTTGTGTGTTTTCCTTCCCTGGGATTTAAAGTCCGCCCCGAAAGGAACCAGCCACCATTCTGAGACCGGCTCTGGATTTGCAACCTTTGGGAGGAATTTCTTTCCAAGGATCAGGTAAAAAGCACAGGCTTGGAAAACCTCCATTTTGGGGGAAAGGCTTTCTTTAAGGGTTTGCGGCGTTTGTCAAATCCGCTAGTCCTCAGTGTTTTGGGGAAGGAAACAGGGAGGCATTCCCACACGTTTCCATAGGTTACGTACGTGTATGTCGGGTGGAAAGGGTTTCAATCTTGCACCAATCTTGATAGAATTACGAACCTTTGCTAATAGAGTATAGTGTCTATAGGAGTACGATCCTATATGATTATCGTCTAGATAGGATTGCAATCCTTTCTTAAGAGAGTATATCATCTATAGGATTACAATCCTATATTATTATTGTCTAGATATTACGATCCTATATGAATATCATCTACATAGGATTACGATCCTTTGCAAACAGAGTATATCATCTATAGGAGTACGATCCTATATTATTATCGCCTACATAGGATTACGATCCTTTGTTAAGAGAGTATATTGTCTATAGGAGTACGATCCTATATTATTATTGTCTACATAGGCTTATGATCTTTTTTAAGAAAGTATATGGTCTATAGGAGTACGATCCTATACTATTATCGTCTAGGTAGGATTACAATCCTATATGATTATTGTCTACATAGGCTTATGATCCCTTGTTAAGAGAGTATATTGTCTATAGGAGTACGATCCTATAATATTATTGTCTACATAGGATTACAATCCTTTGTTAAGAAAGTATATGGTCTATAGGAGTACGATCCTATATGAATATCATCTACGTAGGATTACAATCCTTTGTTAAGAGAATATACTGTCAATAGGAGTACGATCCTATATGAATATCGTCTACATAGGCTTCTGATCCTTTATAAGAGAGTATATTGTCTATAGGAGTACAATTCTATATGAATATTATCTACATAGGATTACGATCCTTTGTTAAGAGAGTATATTGTCTATAGGCGTACGATCCTTTATTATTATCGTCTAGATAGGATTACAATCCTTTGTTAAGAGAGTATATGGTCTATAGGAGTACGATCCCATATGAATATCATCTGCATAGGATTGCTATCCTTTGTTAAGAGAGTATATGGTCTATAGGAGTACAATCCTATATTATTATCGTCTACATAGGATTACGATCCTTTGTTAAGAGAGCATATTGTCTATAGGAGTACGATCCTATATGATTATCGTCTAGATAGGATTACAATCCTTTTTTAAGAAAGTATATGGTCTATAGGAGTACGATCCTATACTATTATCGTCTAGGTAGGATTACAATCCTATATGATTATTGTCTACATAGGCTTCTGATCCTTTTTAAGAGAGTATATTGTCTATAGGAGTACGATCCTATAATATTATTGTCTACATAGGATTACAATCCTTTGTTAAGAAAGTATATGGTCTATAGGAGTACGATCCTATATGAATATCATCTACATAGGATTACAATCCTTTGTTAAGAGAACATACTGTCAATAGGAGTACGATCCGATATGAATATCGTCTACATAGGCTTCTGATCCTTTATAAGAGAGTATATTGTCTATAGGAGTACAATTCTATATGAATATTGTCTACATAGGATTACGATCCTTTGTTAAGAGAGTATATTGTCTATAGGCGTACGATCCTATATGATTATCATCTACATAGGATTACAATCCTTTGTTAAGAGAATATATTGTCTATAGGAGCACAATCCTATATGATTATCGTCTAGATAGGATTACGATCCTTTGTTAAGAGAGTATATTGTCTATAGGCGTACGAACCTATATTATTATCGTCTACATAGGCTTATGATCCTTTGTTAAGAGAATATATTATCTATAGGACTATGATCCTATATGAATATCATCTGCATAGGTTTGCAATCCTTTGTTAAGAGAGTATATTATCTACAGGAGTACGATCCTATATGATTATCATCTACATAGGATTACGATCCTTTATTAAGAGAGTATATTGTCTATAGGAGTACGATCCTATATTACTATTGTCTACATAGCTTATGATCCTTTTTAAGAAAGTATATGGTCTATAGAGTATCATCCTATATGCGATAATGTATTAATGAGTATTCCATCTGCATTAATTAAGGAGTATTTCATCTATATTATGATCCTATATGGATCATGGTGCCATCGAGACAAGGATTATTGATTATCATACGATTCCGATCCTGTATTGATCAATATCTCCTCCAGATAGGCATTGATGTCTTCGTTGTCTGCATAGGAGAAGAAACCCAATATCTTGCTTAGATAGTCTTATTTGCTTTTTCTCGCTATTGTGACTCTGCATTATTGATTATCATACGGTTCTGATCCTGTATTGATCAATATATCCTCCAGATAGGTATTGATGTCTTTGTCGTCTGCATAGGAGAAGAAACCCAATATCTTGCCTAGATAGTCTAATTTGCTTTTTCTCATTGTTGTGACTCTGCATTATTGATTATCAAACGATTCTGCTCCTGTATTGATCAATATATCCTCCAAATAGGCATTGATGTCTTCGTCATCTACATAGGAGAAGAAACCCAATATCTTGCCTAGATAGCCTTATTTGCTGTTTCTCATTGTTGTGACTCTGCATTATTGATTATCATACGATTCTGCTCCTGTATTGATCAATATATCCTCCAGATCGGCATTGATGTCTTCGCAATATATCCTCCAGATAGGCATTGATGTCTTCGTCGTCTACATAGGAGAAGAAACCCAATATCTTGCCTAGATAGTCTTATTTGCTTTTTCTCGTTGTTGTGACTCTGCATTATTGATTATCATACGGTTCTGCTCCTGTATTGATCAATGTATCCTCCAGATGGGCATTGATGTCTTCGTCGTCTGCATAGGAGAAAAAACTCAATATCTTGCCTAGATAGTCTTACTTGCTTTTTCTCGTAGTTGTTTGCTTTGCGTGTTGTTTTTCTCATTGTTCTTAGCTCCGGGGCCATTTTATGGGAGGGTTTCCTTCCCGTCGGAGGTGGATTTCCCCTCCGGAATGAATGGGACTGAAAAATCCCCATAGATCAGACAAGAGGAAATGGGGAGACAATGGGGCATTGAGAGGAAGGCCTTCCACAGCCAAGTTCAACGTCAGGGCAACACAAAATAGACGGGAAAGCAATGCTTTGGCTTTGGAAAAGCAAGGCGTTCCAGTTGCAAAAAATACATATATACTTATAGTGTATTATATATACTGTGGTATCATAATATAGTACAATATAATAAGTGTATACTATATATTACATGTAATATTACTAATAATATTGCAGTGTGGGGGCAACATTATTGTTATATTATTAGAATTACTAAATTATAATATTATTTTCAGTATTATATGTGTATACAATAATGTATATACCTATTATATTGGCCATAATATTATAATGTAATGCAATATAATACTATTGCAATATAATAATTATATAATAATAATAATAATAATGTCATATAGTGATACTAATCTAAAATATATTTACTACTGCTAATAATACAATATTACAACATTATTGTTATGTTATTAGTATTATTTCACCATATTATTTTCAGTATTATGTGTATATACAATAATGTATATACCTATACTACTGACCATAATATTATAATGCAATGCAATATAATACTAACAATACTTCTTTTTCCTCTTCCTTCCACCCTTCCTTTTTCTTTTGTTTCACTTCCTTCTATACTTTCTTTCCCTTCTTTTTCTCTTTCTTGATTTCTTCTTTCTTTCCTTCCTTCCTTCTTTCTTTCTTTCTTTCTTTCTTTCTTTCTTTCTTTCTTTCTTTCTCCCCTTCATTCTTTTTCCTTTCTTTTCCTCCATTCTTTCCCCTTCCCTTCTTTCCCCTCTTTTTGCCCTTTCTTCCTTCCTTTCTTCCTTTCTCCTTTCTTCCTTCCATCCTCCCTTTTCTTTTCTTTCCCTTCCTTCTCCTTCCCTCTCTTTGCCTCCTCCCTTTGTTCCTTCCTTCTTTCCTTCCTTCTTTTTCCCTTTCTTTCTTTTGTTCTTTCTTCCCTTCCCCTCTCTTCGCCTTCTTTCCCCCTTCCTTCCATCTTTCCTTTTTCTTTCACTTCCTTCTATCCTTTCTTTCCCTTCGTTTTTTCTTTCTTTTTCTCTTTTCTTTCTTTCTTTCTTTCTTTCTTTCTTTCTTTCTTTTCTTTCTTTCTTTCTTTCCCCTTCATTCTTTTTCTTTTCTTTTCTTCCCTTCCTTCTCCTTTCCTTTCTTTCCCTTTTTTTTGTCTTTCTTCCTTTCTTTCCCTTCCTTCCTTCCCCTTTCCTTTCTTTCCCTTCTTTTTTCCTTCCTTCCTTTCATTTCCTTTCCTTCCTTTATCTTTCCTTCCATCCTCCCTTTTCTTTTCTTTCCCTTCCTTCCCCTTTCTTCTCTTTCCCTTCTTTTTTCCTCTTCCTTCCTTCCCCTTTCCTTTCTTTCCTTCCTTCCTTCCTTCCTTCCTTCCTTCCTTCCTTTCTACCCTCCATCTTTTTTCTTTTTTTTCCTCCCTTCCTTCTCCTTTCCTCTTCCCCCTCTTTTCCTCTTCCTTCCTTCCTTTTCCTTCCTTCCTTTCCTTTCCTTCCTTCCATCCTCCCTTTTCTTTCCCTTCCTTCTCCTTTCCTCTCTTTCCCTTCTTTTTCCCTTCCTTTCCTTTCCTTCCTTTCCCTTTCCTTCCTTCCATCCTCCCTTCTTTTTCCCCTTCCTTTCCTTTCCTTTCCTTTCCTTCCTTTCCCTTTCCTTCCTTCCATCCTCCCTTTTCTTTCCCTTCCTTCTCCTTTCCTCTCTTTCCCTTCTTTTTCCCTTCCTCCCTTTTCCTTTTCCTTTCTCTCCCTCCTCCTTTCCTCCTCTTTTCCTCCTTCCTTTCTTCTTTATACGCATGCCGCCTTCCTTTCCCCAGTGAGGGCCACTTCACCTAGCCCCTTCCCCTCGCATGTATGAGGGGGAGGGCCACTTCACCTACATACATACATACATACATACATTACATCCATCATTTGACTTTTAGACATACATATAATATTCCAAGAAGGCCAAACCATTTGCAAATTCTGGGAAGTTGCAAACAGGGGCCAGAAGGAATTCAATTGGAATCACAAAGTTGTGCAATTGCAATGGAAGCATCCAGAGAAAGGGAATGGATGATGATGATGATGATGATGATGATGATGATGATGATGATGATGATGATGATGGGCTTGTTTTCCTGCTTTTGGAGGCAGACTGGCCCCTGGTTTTTGCCTTTTGCGGCCTGCACCGCTTGCATGCACACTTTCCCATCTCTCTGTTTACTTGTTGCTCCGGTTGGCAAGGGCCGAGCCCCAAATCCCGGGATCCGGGCCAAATTCCGCCCACCTTTCTCCCCCTTCCAGAACTTTCCTTCGGCCACAGCCCTTGTAAGGAAAACGAAAGGCCCAGAAGGTGGAATTCCCCTTTGCAGCAAAGGCGGAAAACCTTTCTCACAAAATGGGAATCAATGGGATTTGCAACCCAAACAAAGGTCAATCGTCAACACAAGCAACACCTGACTTGTACTGGATTTGTAGTTTTTCGGTTGCCTGTTGTGTCGTTTTTAGTGTTGGATGCTTTGGGAGAGATCACACAGGATGGAATTCAATAACGATGAACACAAATTATTATTATTATTATTATTACTATTATTATTATTATTATTTGAAACACAACAAGATGAGTCCACAGCAAATACTGTTATTATTAGAGATAATAAAAGAGAAGATGAGGATAATAACAATAATAATCCTTCCATCTCTCCTTCCTTTCCTTCCTTCCTTCTTTCTGTTCATTCCTTCTTTCCTCCTTCCTTCATTCCTTCCTCCCTTTTTCCTTCATCCTTCCTTCCTTCTGCTTTTCCTTTCTTTTTCTTCGTTCCCTTCCTTCCTTCATTCATTCCTCTTTTACTTTCTTCTCTCCTTCCCTCCATTCCTTCTTTTCTTCCTTCCTTCCTTCTATCCATCCTCCCTTTCTTCTTTCCTCCCTCCCTTTCTTTTCTTCTTCTTTTCCTTCCTATCTTCCTTCCTTCCCTCCTTCCATCCATCTTTTCTTTTACTATCTTTTTTCTTATTTTTCTTCCTTCCTTCCTCTTTTTCTTTGTTCTCTTCCTTTCTTCTTTCCTCTTTTCTGTCTTTCCCTCCTACCCCCATCAGTTCTTTCCTTCCTTCTATCCATCCTTTCTTCTTTTCTCTTTCTTTCTTTTCCTTCCTATCTTTCTTCCTTCCCTCCTTCCATCCATCCATCCCTTCTTCTTTTTCTTTTTCTTCTTTTTCTTCCTTCCTTCCTCTTTTTCTTTGGTCCTACTCTTTGTTCCTTTCTCTCCTTCTTTTCCTTCCTTCCTTCCTTCTTTCTTTCTTCCTTTTTTCTTTTATAATTCTTTTATTTCCTTCCTTTCCCTCTTTCCTTTCTTTCCTTCTTCCTTCCTTTTCCTCCCTCCTTCCTTCTTTCCTTCCCTCTTTCTTTCCTTCTTTTACTGTCTTTTCTCCCTCCTTCCTTTCTCTCATTCTTCTTTAGCTTCCTTCCATCCTGTCTTCCTTCCTTCCTTCCTTCCTTCCTTCCTTCCTTCCTTCCTTCCTTCCTTCTTATCTTTCTTCCTGCATTTACTTTCTTCTTTCCTTCCTTTCTCTTCTTCTTTATCTTCCTTCCTTCCTTCCTTTTTCATCTCCTTTTTCTTGGCCCTCAAGGTGTTTGTTGCCACACCTTCACAATCTACAGTCAGGAGGAAGCTTGGGTTTCTGGTTGGGTTTCTTGGGAAAGGCTTGGCAGGTCCAGCCGGCCCTCTGCGCATGCTCAGGCGCCGCTGCCCGGAGGCCTCTGTGGGCAGGATCTGCATACATTCCTTCCCAAGGAGAGGCCGGTCCCTTGTGGCCCCTATTAGGGCCCCTTTTCAGAGGAGGGCCGGGCCCCAAAAGGAAGGAAGGACTCCAAAGCAGAATCCATAGAGTTTCCTCTATGCCGACGATCGTACCATCACCACCCAAGCAGGAAGCTTTGGAATGGGTGAACAGAAGCTCTTCAAAGCTTGAGGTGCTCTTACTGCCTATTACAAGGGAAACCAGCTGATTCCTAATCTTCCCATTCTCTGATAATGGAGTCCTATATGTAGAGAGAGAGCTTCATCTATGCTGACGATCATGCCATCACCGCCCAAGCAGGGAGTTTTGGAATGGTGGAACAGAAGCTCTCTGAAGCTTTAGGTGCTTCTTTAGGTGCTCTTGAGTTTGCGATCTTATCCTTAGGTGAACCTTCCTTCTTGCATGTTGTTCCCGCAGGAGAAGCCAAAGGAGAGTTCAAAGGTGGTTCGAAGGGCGGGGCCAAAGGTGGGGTCAAAGGAGGTGACATGACCTGCGACCCCTCAGAGCTGGAGTGGGCCATCCAGACCCTGGTCAAGAACTACGAGCACTACGCCAGCCGGGGATGCTGCTGCTGCTGCAAGAGGAGGCAGGGCATCACCAAGAAGAGCTTCCGCAAGATGCTCACCCATGAGCTCAACCACATGCTCACCGTAAGCCTTGAGGGGGAACAGTTGTGGGGCACTCAGGTTGACCTTTGAACCAAATGAAGACAAACCCACCCCAGGCCACACTGGTCAGGGCAATGAATCCATTTCAGGTTATAGTCCAAACATGGAACCCATGTCTTCAGCATCTTCAGGACACCATTCCAACTTCTTTCCCCACTTATTGCACCTTCCAACATTACCAAGGGCAATAGATAGATAGACAGACAGACAGACAGATAGATAGACAGACAGACAGATAGATAGATAGATAGATAGTAGAGTGATTGACTTAACAGAAACCCACCTTCAGGTCTCGATAGATAGATGATAGATAGATAGATAGATAGATAGATAGATAGATAGATAGATACTAGAGTGATGGACCTAAGAGATGCCTACCTTCAGGTCAAGATAGATAGATAGATAGATAGATAGATAGATAGATAGATAGATAGATAGATAGATACTAGAGTGATGGACCTAAGAGATGCCTACCTTCAGGTCAAGATAGATAGATAGATAGATAGATAGATAGATAGATAGATACTAGAGTGATGGACCTAAGAGATGCCTACCTTCAGGTCAGATAGAGATAGATAGATAGATAGATAGATAGATAGATAGATAGATAGATAGATAGATAGATACTAGAGTGATGGACCTAAGAGATGCCTACCTTCAGGTCAAGATAGATAGATAGATAGATAGATAGATAGATAGATAGATACTAGAGTGATGGACCTAAGAGATGCCTACCTTCAGGTCAAGATAGATAGATAGATAGATAGAATAGATAGATAGATAGATACTAGAGTGATGGACCTAAGAGATGCCTATCTTCAGGTCCCAATAGAGGGGGGGGGGGTGATGGACCTAAGAGAGGCCTATCTTCAGGTCCTGAGAGAGAGAGAGAGAGAGAGAGAGAGATCACTGATGGATTTAAAAGAGGCTTACTTTCAGGTCCTGATAGATAGCTGGACAGACAGACAGACAGATGAGTGATGGACCTAAGAGAGGCCTACCTTAAGGTCCCAACAGATAGATAGATAAATAGATAAATGAGTGATGGACCTAATAGATGCCTACCTTCAGGTCGATAGATAGATAGATAGATAGATAGATAGATAGATAGATAGATACTAGAGTGATGGACTTAAGAGATGCCTATCTTCAGATCCCAATAGAGGGGGGGGGGTGATGGACCTAAGAGAGGCCTATCTTCAGGTCCTGATAGATAGATAGATAGATAGATAGATAGATAGATAGATAGATAGATATATAGATAGATCACTGATGGATTTAAAAGAGGCCTACCTTCAGGTCCTGATAGATAGATGGACAGACAGACAGTCAGACAGATGACTGATGGACCTAAGAGAGGCCTACCTTAAGGTCCCAATAGATAGATAGATAGATAAATAGATAAATGAGTGATGGACCTAATAGATGCCTACCTTCAGGTCGATAGATAGATAGATAGATAGATAGATAGATAGATAGATAGATAGATACTAGAGTGATGAACCTAAGAGATGCCTATCTTCAGGTCCCAATAAGGGGGGGGGGAGTGATGGACCTAAGAGAGGCCTATCTTCAGGTCCTGAGAGAGAGAGAGAGATCCCTGATGGATTTAAAAGAGGCTTACTTTCAGGTCCTGATAGATAGCTGGACAGACAGACAGACAGACAGATGAGTGATGGACCTAAGAGAGGCCTACCTTAAGGTCCCAACAGATAGATAGATAAATAGATAAATGAGTGATGGACCTAAGAGATGCCTACCTTCATGTCAAGATAGATAGATAGATAGATAGATAGATAGATAGATAGATAGATACTAGAGTGATGGACCTAAGAGATGCCTATCTTCAGGTCCCAATAGAGGGGGGGGGGTGATGGACCTAAGAGAGGCCTATCTTCAGGTCCTGATAGATAGATAATCACTGATGGATTTAAAAGAGGCCTACCTTCAGGTCTTGATAGATAGATGGATAGACAGACAGTCAGACAGATGAGTGATGGACCTAAGAGAGGCCTACCTTAAGGTCCCAATAGATAGATGAGAGAGTGAGGGACCTAGGAGAGGCCTACCTTCAAGTCCGGATAGATAGATAGGCCTACCTTCAGGTCAAGATAGACAGATACTAGAGTGATGGACCTAAGAGAGGCCTACCTTCAGGTCTCAATGGATAGACAGATAGATAAATAGATAAATGAGTGATGGACCTAATAGATGCCTACCTTCAGGTCCAGATAGATAGTCCTACCTTCAGGTCAAGATAGATAGATAGATACTAGAGTGATGGACCTAAGAGAGGCCTATCTTCAGGTCCCAATAAAGAGAGAGAGAGAGAGAGAAGTGATGGACCTAAGAGAAGCCTATCTTCAGGTCCTGAAAAATAGATGGATGGATAGATAAATAAATAGATAGATAGATCACTGATGGATTTTAAAGAGGCCTACCTTCAGGTCCTGATAGATAGATGGACAGACAGACAGACAGACAGACAAGTGATGGACCTAAGAGAGACCTACTTTAAGGTCCCAATAGATAGATGAAAGAGTGATGGACCTAAGAGAAGCCTACCTTTAGGTCCCAATAGATAGATAGCTAGATAGATAGATAGAACAGTGATGGATCTAAGAGAGGCCTACCTTCAGACACACACACACACACACACAGAAGAGTAATAGACCTAAGAGAGGCCTACCTTCAGATCTCGGTAGGTAGATAGGTAGGTAGGCAGGCAGGCAGGCAGATAGATAGATAGATAGATAGATAGATAGATAGATAGATAGAGATAGATAGAAGAGTAATGGACCTAAGAGAGGCCTACCTTCAGATCTAGGTAGGTAGGTAGGTAGGTAGGCAGATAGATAGATAGATAGATAGATAGATAGAGATAGATGAGTAATGGACCTAAGAGAGGCCTACCTTCAGATCTATGTAGGTAGGTAGGTAGGCAGGCAGGCAGGCAGACAGACAGACAGACAGACAGACAGACAGACAGATAGATAGATAGATAGATAGATGATAGGTAATGGACCTAAGAGAGGCCTACCTTCAGGTCTCAATAGATAGATAGATAAAACTTCCCATGCCTATTCTATGGCCAAACGTCAACCATGGGGTTGACCAAATCCATAATAGTGAAACCAACAAACTTGGAGGGTCAACTGTAATGCCTTTCCCTTATTCTTGTTGGTGTTATTATGAACTCCTTCTTCTTCCTTGCAGGACACCAAGAACAAGCAGGCGGCGGACAAGCTGATCTGCGACCTGGATGAGAACCAGGACGGGCGGATCGGCTTCCGTGAATACTGGAACCTGATTGGCGGGATCGCCAGCCCCATCGCCTGCCTGATCCGCCAGCAGGAGGAGAGCATCAAGTTCACCAAGTAGGAAGAGGTCCGGCCTGGGTCCCTCCAGCCACTTCTGCCTCTTTCCCAGCTGACCATCTGCCGTCACCAACAATCGCAGCCCTGATTTGTATCTGATTTCGCCAAGAGGGAGAGGAGGACCTGGCCCTGGGAATGCCTTGCCATTGGTCCCCTTCCTCCAACTGTTGCCAGTTTGCAAACATTGTAATAAAGTTTGGAATCTGATGGCAAAGTCAGCGATCCTTGAAGTGTCCATCCTTTCTTTCCAGTCATTTCCCCTTTGACCTTTATGGTTGCCATCTCATTTTGAGCTACCCGTATTCCTCCCGGAAAATATAAGACCCCATCCTAGAACTTATTTTCCGAGGATATCTTAGGTATCCATGTACAGCACCCCACATTTGATTCATTTGCATTGGTGTTGACCTCTTGTCATCCAAAGGCACCCGTGTGTTTACAAATACAAACCATCTGACTTGCAAATGACTCCTAGTTAAGAACAGGGCCGAGACGACAGGAGGTGAGAGAGATCTTTCTCTTGGAAGGAAGTGAAATCCATTCCTGAAAGAGTTATTATCAAGGGGGAAACAGGTCTTCAATGAAGCTTGTTTCCAAAACAAGCCACATTTTCCAAAACTCAATTCTCACAAAGGCAGCAAACGAGGGGAAGAGTCATCAGCATACACACAGCAGACTGTAGGATCTAAATAGCAATATTAAATATCCACTCACAAGCCGGCTTGCTTTGAAATGGATATATTGCTTGTATCTCTAGAGCTGTCAGTCTGTAGGATCTAAATAGCAATAGTAAATATCCACTCACAAGCCGGCTTGCTTTGAAATGGATATATGGCTTGTATCCCTGCAGCAAAGAAAGACACTACTGACTTTTATACCCCTTTCCTGCCCATCTCCCCCTCTTCTCAGTTTCCTTATTAGAACTTGTTGCTTTACAAGTCCCATAACATGGTTTCCAGCGCCCTCTGATGGCTTCAGAATGTCACAGAGAGAATTGATTCAGTCAGGATGATTCAGTCAGGATGTCATGGACAAATTTGTGATGTCTTCATGCCCTCAGAAATTGACTCCTGACACGCATCCCATGCTGATGGATAATGTCTCCTAGCGGTTGCTTCTGAACAGGGGCACAGTCAGCAAAGGAAGCAGTGAAGGGGTATTAACCCTTCCCTATGCTACATATATATTTGTACACCACCCTTCTCAGACATTAGGTGACTCAGGGCGGTTTCATGTACACACACATACATACATGTATACACACATGTCCCGCCCCCGATATGCAGCAGGTTAAAACGCTGAGCTGCTGAACTTGCTGACTGAAAGGTTGGTGATTTGAAACCTGGGAGCAGGGTGAGCTCCTGCTGTTAGACCCAGCTTCTTCCAACCAAGCAGTTCGAAAACATGCAAATACGAGTAGATCAAGGAAGGAAGGAAAAGACGAGAGGAAGGAAAAAGGGAGGGCAGGAAGGAAGGAAGGGAGGAAGGGAGGAAGAAAAGGAGGAAGGGAAGATGTATCTGAGGCTTCAATGGAGGGTCAGAATACCCAGAGGGTGCCATGCTCAATGTGTCCACTGGAGGGCAGCAAAGGATTACACATAGGCGTCAATGGAGGGGCAGAATACCAAGAGGGTGCCATGTTTGGTGTGTCCACCAGAGGGCGGCAAAGGATTACACATAGGCGTCAATGGAGGGGCAGAATACCAAGAGGGCGCAACGCTCGGTGTGTCCATTGGAGGGCGGCAAAGGATTGCGCATAGGTGTCAATGGAGGGGCAGAATGCCAAGAGGGCGCCATGCCTGATGTGTCCACTGGAAGGCGACAAAAGATTACACATAGGACTCAATGGAGGGGCAGAATATCAAGAAGGTGCAAAGCTTGGAGTGACCACTGGAGGGCGGCAAAGGATTACACATAAGAGTCCAGGGCAAATGATGTGTCTAAGGTGTCAATGGAGGGGCAGAATACCAAGAGAGTGCAATGCTTGGAGTGACCACTGGAGGGCGGCAAAGGATTACACATAGGACTCAATGGAGGGGCAGAATACCAAGAGAGTGCAATGCTTGGAGTGACCACTGGAGGGCGGCAAGGGATTACACATAGGACTCAATGGAGGGGCAGAATACCAAGAGGGCACAATGCTTGATGTGCCCACTGGAGGGCCGCAAAGGATTACACATAGGAGTTCTGGGCCAATGGTGCCTCTGAGGATTCAATGGAGGGGCAGAATATGAACAGGGTGCAATACTCACTGTGTCCACCAGAGGGCGGGAAAGAATTGCACAGAGACGTCAATGGAGGGGCAGAATACCAAGTGGGTGCAATGCTTGGTGTGACCACTGGAGGACGGCAAATGATTGCACATAGGAGTTCTGGGCGAATGATGCGTCTGAGGTGTCAATGGAGGGGCAGAATACCAAGAGCTCGCAATGCTCGCTGTGTCCACTGGAGGGCAGCAAAGGATTGCACATAGGCGTCAATGGAGGGGCAGAATACTAAGAGGGCGCAATGCTTGGTGTGACCACTGGAGGGCTCAATGGAGGGGCAGAATACCAAGAGGGTGCCATGTTCAATGTGTCCACTGGAGTGCGGCTAAGGATTGCACATAGGAGTCCTGGGCAAATGGGCCTCTGAGGCTTCAATGGAGGGTCAGAATAACCAGAATGCTCGATGTGTCCACTGGAGGGCAGCAAACTTCTTGGGTTGGTAGTGCTTTTTGAGTTATGAGAGTTAATCATAAAAATGGAAATTAATATAAGGGCATGGACTGGATGGTCGGATGGGGGTCCCTTCTGACTTTACGAATAACAATAATAATAATGGGTTGTTGTAGGTTTTTCCGGGCTATATGGCCATGTTCTGGAGGCAATTTTTCTCCTGACGTTTCGCCTGCATCTATGGCAGGCATCCTCAGAGGACCTCATTACCTCTGAGGATGCCCGCCATAGATGCAGGCGAAATGTCAGGAGAAAAATTGCCTCCAGAACATGGCCATATAGCCCGGAAAAACCTACAACAACCCATGGATTCCGGCCATGAAAGCCTTCGACAATAATAATAATAATAATAATAATAATAATATAAAAACCTTTCTCCTGGAAAGAGAAGTCAATTCACCCATTTTTGATTTGCATGTTATTTATTTTAAAAGGTAAAGGTAGTCCCCTGACATTGAGTCCAGTCATGTCTGACTCTGGGACTCTGGTGCTCATCTCCATTTCTAAGCCAAAGAGCCAGCGTTGTCCATAGACACCTCCAAGGTCATGTGGCTGGTATGACCACATGGAGCGCCGTTATATTATATTATATTATATTATATTATATTATAGGAAAAGGTAAAGGTAGTTCCCTGACATTAAGTCCAGTCATGTCTGACTCTGGGACTCTGGTGCTCATCTCCATTTCTAAGCCGAAGAGCCAGCGTTGTCTGTAGACACCTCCAAGGTCATGTGGCCGGCATGACTCCATGGAGCGCCGTTACCTTCCCGCCGGAGCAGTACCTATTGATCTACTCACATTTGCATGTTTTCGAACTGCTAGGTTGGCAGAAGCTAGGGCTGACAGCGGAAGTTCACGCCGCTCCCCGGAATCGAACCTGCGACCTTTCGATCAACAAGCTCAGCAGCTCAGTGCTTTATATATATATGTATGTATGTATGTATGTATGTATGTATGTATGTATGTATGTATGTAATGTAATATAGTATAATCTCCAAGGATGACACCCCAGAGGAGTCAAGTCTCTGTATGGAGATTCTATTAATTGATGTGTTTTTGCAATTCCGGGCCTGACCACCGGAGGGCAGCAGAGTCCATGCTTTTTTTGTCCATTGGAGAAGGAACCACGCCCTGCAATGACCCATAGCGACCACCAGGTGGCAGCAGAGACCAGCTCAGAAAGAGGAATGGAAGCGGGACAAAAACATTTTTGTTCTGGAGTGGATTCCAGGTTCCAAAAGGGAGTGGGAGGCCCCTGGGTAGGCCCATCATCAGCCTGTGTTTCCTAAACAAAGAGGAACTGGGTTTTGACTACACTTCTCTAGGGCCCGAGTCAAGTTTGTTGTGGTTGTGGTTGTGGTTGTGGTTGCCTTCCTCTTTTCTGTTTCCTCCCTAACCTTCTTCCTTCCTTCCCTTTCTCTCTTCCTCCCTCTTTCTCTTTTGGAATCAAAGAGAGAAGGAAGGAAAGGAAGGAAGGGGAAGAAAGAAGGCGAGAGAAGGAAAAGAGAAAAAAAACCTCACTGATTGACTTTGCAAACTTCATGGCTACTCAAGCTTGCTCATTGCAACATCCACACTTGCTTCAAACAGACTTTTTCCCACCCTGGACATCATTCCACAGAGGGTGCCCCCAGGCAACAACAGCCAGGCCACCTCTATGCAGAGACCCTCCCTGATTGACTTTGCAGCTGCGAGGCTACTCAAGCTTGCTCATTGCAACATCCACACTTGCTTCAAAAAGACTTTCTCCCACCCTGGACATCATTCCACAGAGGAATGGGCAACAACAGCCAGGCCACCTCTATGCAGAGACCCTCCCTGATTGACTTTACAGCTGTAAGGCTACTCGAGCTTGCCCATTGCAACATCTACACTTGCCTCAAGCAGACAAGGGTTCTTTCTCCCACTCTGGATATTATTCCACAGAGGATGCCTCCAGGTAACAACAGCCAGGCCACCCTTATGCAGAGACCCTCCCTGATTGACTTTGCAGCTTCATGGCTACACAATGCTATTCAAGCTTGCAACATACAGACTTCCTTCAAACAGGCAAGGGTGCTTTCTCAAACCCTGGACATTATTCTACAGAGGCCGCCTCCAGGCGACAGAGGACTCTATGCAAAAACCCTCACTGGTTGACTTTGCAGCTTCATGGCTACTCAATGCTAGTCATTGCAACATCCAAACTTTCTTCAAACAGACTTTCTCCCACGCTGGACATCATTCTACAGAGGGTGCCTCCAAGCAACAGAGGCCAAGGCACCTCTATGCAGAGACCCTTGCTGATTGACTTTGCTGCTGCAAGGCTACTCAATGCTAATCAAGGTTGCTCATCGCAACATCCATATTTGCTTTAACAGACAAGAGTTCTTTCCCCCACTTGGAACATCATTTCACAGAGGGCGCCTCCAGGCAACAGAGGCCAGGCCACCTCTATGAAAATATCCGCACTGATTGACTTTGCAGCTGCAAGGCTACTCAATGCTAGTCAAACTGGCTCA